GCTTTTTAAAAAAACGGATGGAAACTTATGTAATAATGATCAAGAAACAGCTGAAGCTCTGGCCAATCATTTTTCACAAGTGTTTTCCTTTGAACTCACAGGCGACATCCCAGTTAGTCACGATGCCCGAACAGCAACCTCTTTATGTAATGTCGAGTTTTCATCTCCAATTTTTAATGAAACTCTCAAAAAAATCCAATCAAATTCCTCCCCTGGAATTGACAATTTATCCGCAATGCTTTTAAAAGAATGTGCATCTTATTTGGCTTTACCTTTATCCATTATTATGACATCTTCCTTTACATCTCACACACTTCCTTCAATGTGGAAAATTGCTTCGGTGACACCTATTTTTAAAAAGGGTGACAAACTCAGTCCATCCAACTATCGTCCAATAAGCCTTGTCCCAATTGCCTGTAAAATAATGGAATCCATCTTAACCAATTATATGTCTGATTTTCTCAAGAGCCATGACGTCTTGCCAAAAAAACAACACGGTTTTATTAAAGGCCGATCCACATTAACAAACCTAATGACCTGTTTAAACGATTGGACTACGTCTGTGGACAATAAAGAGCCTGTCGATGTCGTATATCTTGATTTCGCTAAAGCCTTTGATCGTGTTCCCAGAAAGAGATTGCTTTATAAGTTGGAAAAAGCTGACATTCGCGGCTCTTTACTTCTCTGGGTAACTGATTTTTTGTCAAATCGCACCTTCAAGGTAAAAGTTGGACAGATGTTCTCGTCAGAGTATCCAGTTCTAAGTGGTGTCCCTCAAGGCTCTGTCATAGGGCCATTACTATTCTTGGTATACGCTGCAGATCTAGGCAAATACTTAAATTCTAATATTTCATGTTATGCTGATGACACTAAGCTATACTCTAATCCTATGACAGATTCTACCCAGCTACAAAAAGACCTTGAAACTATTTCAAACTGGTGTGACACCTGGCTGCTTCATTTAAACACGGAAAAATGTGTCGTCCTGCATATAGGAAAAAATAACCCGGGCGTGAACTATTATCTAAAGGGTAGTGCGTTAGCAACTGTGAACTCCTATAACGACCTGTGACTCATTGTGAACTCTTCATTAACGTAGTCAGAGCACATATCAGCGGTATCTAAACGTTCGAACTCATTACTCTACCCATTAAAAAAGTCCTTCACACGTGTGAAATTTCAAACATTTTCTAAACTTTATACACCTTACGTTAGACCGTTGATGGAATATGTCGGACCTGCGTGGTGTCCTGATCTGGTTTCTGATCAAAAAAGATTGGAAAATGTTCAACGCTACGCTACTCGAATACCTTTCGGCAGAATCAGACCATCGTATGAAGAACGGCTTAACATGGCGAATTTGTGTTCATTTTCCCACAGAAGATTAAGAGGTGATTTAATTGTGACCTACAGAATTCGTCATGGTACTTTTTCATCCAACTTATATAGTATACTCCCACGGAATACAGATGAGCGCCTACGTGGACATGAGTATAAGTTGAGCAAAGAAAATTTTAAAACACGTACCCGACAAAACTTTTTTTGTATTAGAGTTTTCTATACTTGAAATAATTTACCCTCGAGTGTTGTTCGCGCACAGTCAGTAAATGTATTCAAAAACCGACTCGATGACTTTTTTAAAGAAAACTAAAAGTTTATTTTTAGTGCTTTGTTTGCAATATGTTATTTGCTAATTACTTATTTAATAATTGTCTTTGTTATTAAACTTGTAATTTTGGGCTTAATAGGATTCATTCCTCAGCCTTAATTTATTTGTAATAATAATAATAATACCCGCGATATTTAACAAGTCCTAACCCGTACTCTTTGTGGGTTACGAGTAGTTAGAATTAATTAAGTCATCGATAATATGTACATTATTTGTTTATATTCTGAATATATTTCTAATACGAATGTCGCTTTTACAATATATCGACTAGGAACCTGCAATTCCTCCTGACATTTTCGGCCAAATTGATATTTTAGTGCGATTAAAGAGAACTTTCAAGTGCGTATGTACTGGCAAAGTCTCTCTGTATCTGTAACGTATTGAGGGTGGGTTACCCCCCCCACCCCCACGACACTTATGCCTCACTAAGCCCATTGTGCATCCTCCTAAGTAGATAGGTACCTCCTAGCTCGTGAGCCAGCCTACAGATTTATTGTAGTTGACAACGTCGCCAAGAGATGTTTCTCTTATATCGGCCGCTTTTAGCCAATACTCGCCGAACACAGATTTTCTAATAACTGAAAGCGTCGAGCAATAGTGAAGGATATGCTCGATGGTCTCATCTTCTTATTCGCAATCTCTGCAGGGTGCGGATTCTGACAGCCTCATGATATGGAGATACTGACTCGGAGTCATATTTGACCAAAGGCTGACATGGAATCAACATCTCAAAAAACTCACACATAAAGCTACAATAGCTCTCGTAAGCTGTAGAAGAATATGTGGGAAAAACTGGGGTCTAAACCCCAAAATGACCATATGGTTATACACAAGGGTAATAAGACCCATGATAACCTATGGCGCAGTGGCGTGGGTAACCAAAACTGCACAGGCAAGTGCAATAGGCCAACTCACTAGCATTCAGCGGCTTGCCTGTCTAAGTGCTACTGGGGCCATGCGCACTACGCCGACCGCAGCAATGGAGGTATTACTAAATCTCACGCCATTGCACATCTTCATACAAGGCGAAACCAGGTCAGCTATTCACAGGCTAATGCAGGGACAAAACCCAATAAGCCAACTACATAGCGCCGACCACACAAGGCTATATCAGCAAGTACAAAGGGATAATATTCTAGCTATGCCTACTGATGGAGCCATAACCACATACAAATTTGAAAGAAATTTTCAAATTCAAATACCAGCCCGAGAATCCTGGAAACAGGGACCTCCCGTACAGGCTGAACTCGTCTGGTACACAGACGGTTCAAAAACCAAGGAAGGAGCCGGTGCTGAAATCTATGGACCTAAGTCGAAATCAACGATTTCACTAAGCTTAGGAAAATATGCAACAGTGTTCCAGGCTGAGCTAATAGCCATACAACACTGTGCAAGAGAAATATTAAATCAGCAAGTATCAGGCAAAACTATTGCCATATACTCTGATAGCCAAGCAGCTCTAAAGGCAATTCTCTCACCAGAAATCAAATCACGACTGGTGAAAGACTGTCTAGAAGACCTGACAGAGCTAAGTAGTCAAAATAAGGTGACCTTAGCCTGGGTTCCAGGCCATGAGGGATATCAGGGCAACGAAAAGGCCGACGAATTAGCCCGAGAAGGCTCAGATAAGGCCATGACAGGCCCTGAACCCTTTTGTGGAGTCGCTAAGGCATTGTGTAAGGCATCCATTAAACAATGGATGCAAAAAGAGTCTCAGGAATGGTGGAACAACTATCCAAGACTGAGACAGGCCAAACAGTTCATCAAGGAACCATCGGCCAAGTTTACGAAAGACCTACTGGATCAAAAACGTCAAATCGTTAGGATAACAGTAGGCCTTCTTACTGGACACTGTCGCCTCAAAAGGCACATGAGTGTCATAAATCCAGCAGAAGAAGCAACTTTGTGCAGGTTCTGTGAAGAAGAAGAGGAAACATCATTCCACGTCCTGTGCCAATGTGAAGGCTTGGCTGGAATGAGGTTTCTAACATTGGGCGAAGAAAAGCCAATTGCATGCAACTACATGCGGGAGCCACTGTCAAAGCTACTAAGTCTAATAAAAAAGACCAGGCTAGACGACATACTCTAAAACAAACGGAGTCCCACAATAGATCTGAAAAGGTTGCGGTGGACAAGGACAAATAACGTCCAACTCCTAATCTAATCTAATCTAATCTAATCTACTGACTTGGCAATGACCAGTCAGAATGCCTGTAACTAGGCGCAGATTCTGCCTAGTCGTAGTCAAGAATTTGTTTGCTGCAGTGTTGCCAGGATAACTTAAGAGCTCCCTGGCAACTCTGCAGTTTCTTGTTTTATCAAATCTTTCCTTGCATTTCACAAGGGACTGTTCTTTAATTAGGTTTGTCACTGCCGATTTTGTCAGGCCAATAGAAGGGCCAGGTCCAAAAGGTATTTGGTTGGCTGCTTTCTTGGCTAGTGAATCAGCAAGACGGTTACCTTTCGATGTGGCGTGACCTTTAATCCATCTAAAGGTGACCACAATGTTGATGGATACTTCAGCCAAAGCTTTGTGATATTCTAGTACTAACCCTAAGTAAATTCGTAGTCTGTTCAGGGCGAGTAGTGCTTGTCTGCTATCTGTATAGATGAGCATGTTCTTTCCAGTAATATTCTTTCTGGTCTTTTCTTTTGCTGCTATGAGAGTCCCTGTTAGCTTTGTTTGAACTACACTGGCACTATTGCTTACAGCCCATTTTATGTTAAGGTTTAAGAATCTGGAGTATATTCTACATCCTGAACTTTGTTTTGTTTTAGAACCGTCGGTGTAGATATAAATCGCACCTGGATATTGATTGTGTTACTGACCTGGTGTCGGATATAACCAATGGTTTAGGTAATGATCTTTTCATATAATTACTAGTTGATTATGAACGGTAATAATTTCTAATCATCCTCTTTGACATCTCTACAAAACACGGACATCAATTTTTATATAAATTATTGGATATTTCAATAATTTCAGTTTGTTTTAGGTACTTGTAAATCGTCTTTAGATGCAGAGCCTCTAGATTCCAATAAGGTTTTTAAATCTGTTTTCGTGTCGGCGTAAGTACAGTTTGATCTCTGTGATGGTATAAATAATATTAACTTTGCATTTGATCTTGCTCTAAACATTAACCAGCTAATGAAGACTCACTGAAAAATAACATAAATCCATTGGAACCTGACAATGATGAAGGTATCAGCAATTATTTAGATCAGGAAATATCATTTGATCAATTTGAACATGAAACCATCAACATTTTGGAACGTAAGTTTAAAATTGATATTATTAGTAATTTTTAAACATAGTTACGTGATGTTATAGGTACTGAAGATGAACATACTATCCAGGCGAATGGAAGAAAAATTAAATTAAGAGCTGAAAAACAATTATGGATCTGCGAGAAAAACAAGAAAATGCGAGAACGAGGGGAAGCATTTTTAGAATTTTCCAAGAAGAAAAATAAAAAATGAAACAAGACGCAGTATGTCCGGAAAGGACATTAAAACCAGCATGCAAATAGGAATTTTGTCGAAACTCAAAGGTAAGGAAGTGTTCAGATGAGCAAAGAGAAAGTTAATTTAAGTATTTTTGAAGGAGATGTCGTGGGGCCAAAGAAAAGTTTAAATATCTACACATTTTGAGAATATTACAGTAAAGTGAAAGACGATTATTACTGATCATGAATTTAGGAGACAATTTAAATACAAATAACGAAAAGCTCCCAGTGTGTCGTACCATGTTTGATTTAGGGTACAAAACAGTGCAAGAATGGGTAAACAATAGCAACTATGGGATGCACCAAAATTCTAAAAGACAGATAACTGTTAGACAGGCTCTAAAGGCTCGCACAGCTTTAAATATTGAAAATATGCACAATTTTCTTGAAGAAATATCCAAATTACCATTGCACTATGCCAAAAAAAGTTCATCAAAATAACGATTTTTAAAACTCTGGTTGAAGTTTACAAGATATATAAAATATATTGTGAAGATAACATTTTTACAAGCTATTTAAAGACAAAAATTTCCTTATATATACACTCAAAACAGATCAGGACAATACTTGTTTTGCACAACACTGGAAATATTTCTGAGGTTGAATACATCTCACATAGAAAACGAAAAGATCGAGCATGGAAAGAAAAATAAATTGATAAACAAAAAGAAATGAAAGGTGAATGTATTTCATTGTGCTTAGATCTACAGGCTTTGAAGTTAGCCCCTTATTTACAAGCTGGGACTTTTTATTACAAGACAAAATTGTGTAATCACAATTTTACAGTGTATGACCTGAAAACTAATAACGCTATGTGCTGCTAGTTTTCAGAAGATCAAAACAATGAGCTAAAAGCATCAACTTTTGTTTCGTGTATAGTAGATTATCTAGAGAAAAAGTGTATTCCAACAAATGTACCAATTATTATTTGCTCTGATGGATGTACATATCAGAATCGTAATAATATAATGGCTGATGCACTTCTTAACTTTTCCATCAAGCATCAAGTGACCATTTTTCAAAAGTATTTGGAAAGTGGGCACACTTTTTTGGAGTGCGATTCAGTACACTGGTATAGAACGCAAATTAAAGAATCGTGATATATATTTACCTAGTGACTATATATCTGTTACCAGAGAAGCACGTCAAAACTCTAAACTTTAGGAAGCTGTGAATTTACCCTATAGCTTCCTTTCCAACTTTTCCTTAGCTGAAAATTTTTTAGATACTCTTCGATTCGCCCTGGCAAACTAAAAGATGATCCGGCGGTTACTGATATAAAAGCAATAAAATACGAAAACGCAAAAATTCAAGTAAAAATATATTATGACAAGATTTATTATCACTCAGCGTTGCTAATTTGAGAAGTTGAGTATCGAGTGTAATCTGTTGTAATGCGATTTTTTTATTTTTCGAGTTCCAATTGTGTTTTATTTTTTTTCTACTCCTATACCAGTTGATTAACTGCTAATTTTCAGTTTCATTACCATACTCATTATAACACTGGTTTCATTATGAAACTAAAAAATTGACCAATAGCAATAGAACAAGTAGGCAGACCCAATATTTTTTTCTATTTTTCTAAGAGATTCGTGTTTTATAACAGTGTCAATCGTTTACGTTAGTCGAGCGACGAAGAGTTTCCATTCACACCACCTGAAATCGCTGAAAAGGCGAAAAATGTATCATCATAGTTATTATATTGGTTATTGTGTAGGAATAAAACTTAAGTCGAAGAACTTATTTTTCTTTCACAATTTATTTATATCCAATTTATAAGAAGTTTTAGAAAATTATTTTATTTAAATTTAATTAATTCGGGAGCAGAAATTTGTGAAGGGGATATAGACAGTATATTATTAAAACTTGTTGATTTACCTGAAGAAGAAGAGGAACAAATTGTTTACCCTCTTGCCATTAAACCTATAGTGCACTTATTATCAAACATGTAAGTTACTTGAAAAAAAAAATTGTTAGATGTATATGCGGGTATCTTGTCTAGAGGTGTCTAACTAAAAGTTCACTCTTGTGATACTTTTAAAAAGTATGCCAATGAATAAAAAGAGGTAAACGCAACATCTTTGTTTTGTTTTTAAAGCTTCTGATGCCAAAAATTTGGACAACTTTGGGCATTTGAACATGCCAAGTAACAGTTTTGGTCATTTTGTTTTCTCATTGGAAAATATCTTTATAGACAACTTTGAAGCAAACTTTGAGGCAAACGTGCTTAAACAATAAATTAGTATGTTTAAATCAGTTATGTTTGTTCACCCATGTAAACAGTTTCTCTTTGCCCATTTAATTAATTTATAGGGTAGATTACGAATCTAATATGCATTAAAATAGGCAAACCGAAATTTTAAAACAAATGTAAGTTTACGTAAGAAAAAACCAAAATTTATTATTTGAAGATATCCATGGAAAGCCTATTATTAAATGTATTTTCTTTAATATGAATTGTTTTATGTAACCATTATTTTGCCCCAATGTTTAATAATCAAGAAGACAAAATCATCAAGTTGTATGTAATACAACGTTTATTTATTAGAAATAGAAAATAATTCCATTTCAAATGTGACCAAGACATAAAGTATTTATTATTTCGTAACCTCCAACCTCATATACCGTAATATGGAGAGACTTTGAGTTTTGAAGGCGACTTTGATAGTAGCCCCTACCCAAAGGTAAAACTGTTGTACGATCGAAGTCGCCTCTTGATTGACTTTTTAGTTTTTTTCTATAATTTAGACTAATTCATATATTGTCTTTTTGTTTCAGATGGTACGAACTTATAAAAAGGTACTTGGATCCCGTAAATACAAAAATTACACAGACGAGCAACTTCAGGAGGCACTTGAAAAAATCGCCGATGGGCGGTTGTCAATAAAGGCTGCGGGTGGGCAACCTATATTTTCCACTACTGAAGAAAGTGCTGCCGTTAAGTGTGCCGATTGGGGGTTCCCACTTACTCTTCTGGATTTAAAAATGCTTGGAAAAGCGTATTTGGACAAATGCGGACGAGCTGTACCCAAATTTAAAAATAACATTCCAGGCACACGACACAAAACAGAAGTTGCTCAACGCCTAGCTAGTAACATAAACAAGAGCCGTACTGTGGTTTCCAAGGAAACGTTAGAAATTTATTTTGCGAACTTACAGCAAACATTAGAAGGGGTAACGCTTGAAAATACGTTTAATTATGATGAATCCAACGTCGGCGATAACCCGGGAAAGGCCTGGGCTATATATCGAAGTGATACCAAATATCCAGAAAAAGTTTTAAATCATTCTAAAAGCAACACTACCATCATGGTTTGTGGATCTGCGGATGGTACCCTATTACTTCCTTATATAATATATAAGAGTGAGCACTTATATAATACCTGGAAGGAAGGAGGCATTAAAGGTTACCCATGTTGTGATAAGCAATGTTGTGTAACTGGGTGCAGATTTAATAGGACATCCCATGGATGAATAGACACAAACACATTCCAGGATTGGTTTGAAACTAGCTTCTTACCACATGTTTGAAGATTAGAGGGAAGAAAGTTACTAATTGGTGACAATTTAGCATCGCATTTTAGCGAATCTACTATTCGTTTTTGTGAAGAGAATAACATTTCCTTTGTTTGTCTCGTGCCAAATTCGACGCATATATGCCAACCGTTGGACGTGGCATTTTTAAGGCCGATGAAAGTAGCCTGGTGTTCCATACTGACGGACTACAAGCTAAAACATAGAGCATCTGGTATCCAAAAGGAGATTTTCCCTTCGCTTTTGAAGCGTGCCCTACAGAATATCGACCAAGCTACGCCACAAACCAGTATTAAACTAGGAGACCAAGAAGAATCTGCAATAAAACGGAATCAAATTAACGATTTTTACGCGAGTGGAATACACCCATTTAATCCCAGGAAAGTCCTCGACAAAATTCCGGGAACGTCAGAGAACGATAACAATCCGGAGCCCATTGTTGAAGATGCTCTCTCAGAATTATTACGTGCAAATCGTTTTGGTGGCCAAAACAGTCAAAGAATTCAACGAAAAAGAAAACGCATCAATATAGAGCCAGGAAAAAGTGTTGCAACCGTTGACCGCAGCAGTTTAAATGAAGCTTTAGACATGTCGGAGTCGGATAATACTTCAGTCGATGATTCAGCTATAGAGGAAGTAGAATATACGCATCCAGATCCACAACTTTTATTACCAGAATGTTTTATTTTGGTTCATTTCCTTGGGGGAAAACGACGTTCCATGCAGTACAAATATGTCTGTAAAATTCAGTCACAATTTTCAGAAACTGAATATACAGTGGTTGGGTATAAGTCGACAAACCAAGAAAAAATAGTATTCAAGCTTATGCCAAAGGATATATCGACAGTGCCATTGTCAGATATTTCTGCCATATTGCCCCTACCAGTAAATGTTGATGGAACCGCTGAGATAATAAAATTTGAGAAGAAAGTTAATGTGTAAGAACTTTCAAAATGATTTAAACTTTTAAATACCCAAAGAACATTAATAACCAAATAATAATATTTTACACAGTTACTAATTTTAAGAAAGTGAGTTTATTATCTTTGGGAAGGTGGTTTTATCAAAAGCACTTTCTATGTCTATGAAACCACCCAAGGCGGACTCCTTATTGTCCAGGTATCTTTCTATCCGGGCAGCAACTAGATGAAGGGCTGAATCAATAGATCTTCCTGGAGTGTATGAATGTTGGTTTGGGTGTAGTGGTGTTGTAATCACCGCATTCCTCATGTACCTTTCGCATAGTATTTCCAATGTCTTTATGGAAAACGATGTCAGACTAATTGGTCGGTATGTTTTTGGGACAGTATAATCCATCCTTCCAGGTTTGGGTATAAATACCACTTTTACTTCTCTTCATTTTTTGGGGATATATCTCAGAGCCAACGAGGATCTGAATATACCCACCAGGTGCGGCGTGAGTTCTTCCAGACCCCACTGAAGTAGGGTTGGATAGATACCGTCAGGTCCTGGCGATTTAAATGGAGAGAAGCTGGATATTGCCCATCTACGCCTATGTATTATTTTTGGACAAAATTTTAATACCATTTTTTTGTCACATAAAACTCTACCAATATACTAAATTTCGGCAAAATCGCATATGCCGTTTTAAATTTATATGGGAAAAACGATTTAAAAATTGTAACTTCAAGGCCCTCTGGAGCCCAAACGAAGCAACTTTGTACTTAGGTAATTTTACTTAAATCGACTTATTTTGGTCTAAGGAACATGTGGTATATTTTTGTAAAGACCTTTTACATTTTATATCTGGTAATATTGTACACCTACTGGTTGTCAATTTTTTTATGTTGTTGCTTGTTGCACAATAGTTTTAATTATTGAAGTATATAATACTATTTATGACTCTTGTTAAGCCAATGTTTTTATTCATACTATTAATAGTGTCTATTTTACATTTGGGGTAATCATTTGTATAGTTTGGGAAAGTTATTAGTTCTTGTCATATGAATTCTTTGATTTAGGTATTTATTTTTGTACGAAGGTACTTTTTTGTTTTGTGTGTAAGTAAATTGTAGTCTAAATCATTCCGATTAAAGTCGCCCTCAAAACAAAATTTGACATACCAAAAAAACTAAAACGTCAATTTGCAAACGGGGCGATTATAATCACTTTGAACATCTTGTGTGCGTTTTAAACATATTTTTAGGAGGGGTATCAAAGACGCCCCATTTTTAAAAAATTAGGTTTAAAATTATCAAAGTCACCCCATTTTACGGTATCTAATGTGTCCTACACGATCAAGTGTTTAGAAAATAAATTAAAAGTGAATATTTTCTATAAATATTTTATAAGAAATATTTTTTCTTATCTTTATTGCCAACAAAAATATTGAGAACATTATAATTTTGTACTTTTCCATGTATTTCTCGATTTCATTTTAAATTTATGCATTTAACAAAATAGATAGAGAAATACATCACAAACAACTTTAATTCGATGATTTTCTCCAAACAACAGAAATATAACTTAAACTAAAAAAAATCGAGCCTCTATAAAGTAATCCCATACTTCAACTATGTCCAAAATCGAATTAGCAACGTGGACTAAAATTTATATTTAAAATGTGGCATATTTCTCTTTATCTAAAACAATAATGCGAAAATTGTCAAAACAGATTCGAAGGACTCCAAAACGTAATGATCAGACGAATGATTCCTCTACTTTCCTTACTGATAACAGGAAAGTAAAGAATTAAAATTATTTTTGGTAAATTTAAAGAAAATCAGTAGAGCCGTTTTCTCATTCATTAACAAAAAACAATTTCGAACTCGAGAACCTTTAGAGTAAAAAATTAATCAAAATATCGAATCCCAATTTATTATATTTCTTCCCTCATATAAATCTAAAATAAAACCAAACCGACTCTGACCAGTCCGTTTGTGCTAAGTCGGTTATCGAAAGCAACCGAAATTTGCCACAGCGTTCTTATATAATTTCCCGAGAGTTAAATTTCAGTGTATTCAGTGGTCTTACCAAGGAATGTTCACCATTTTTACGAAAATTTGCCGTACTAATGCATTTTGTTCGCCATTATAATTTCTCGTTGGTCAACTAAAAATAATTCGTTTCTTAGTTTTATTTTTTTAACTTTCGTACTTTGAAAATAAAGTGTTTGTTTTTTACTTTACGTTCTTGGTTTTATTTACTTTAATCATGAGTCAAAATCTCCTATGTACCCTTCACCTAAAAAAATAATAATAAAAATATTGAAATTTATTTACCTTGGCCTTTTATATGTACGTAATATAATAACAAATTTCCATATTGCAAATTAAAAAGTTAAAAAATAAGAGTAATAAACAGTTTCTGTCTTCTCCTGAAAAGTTAGCCTAACAACAGTTAGGCTCCTAGTTGATATTTCATTTGACATAGTAATTTTAATAACTTAGAGATAGATTTGTTTAAACCTTCTTTAATTTTTCCAAACAAAAATTAGGAATTTACAATTTTTCAACATAACTTTCATTTTTAATATTTTTATACGAAGGAAAAAATAATAGTACGCTGCTGTAAGCTATCTATAGTATTACATTTTACAGTGTCAAGCCATCAGATTTATAAAAACCAAGCCTTTTTAGGTAAATAAATACCTACATCTTCCTCAATTTAACAATATTACAAACTCCCCATTTTAAGTAAATTTAAGAATTTCAAGAAATGATTTATAAAAATTGAGTTTGATATTAATTATTTTATAAACGTCAGTGTCAGTAAAAACGAGAAAGTATCAAATTGCTGTCTAGATTCTTTCGAATCTCTTTTAACGCGCGAAACTTTATCAATTTTTTTAATCGTACCTACCTAAATGTACCTACTTATTTGTATTTAGGAAATAAATCCTTTACTCGTTTTTTACAATGCAATAATATTGTCATCCTTGTACTATCGTTTCCGTAGCGACCTGTAAATAAAACTCGCTGTTGATCCGTTTGACGTTTCAGGCTATCAAGTGAGTCATGAACGTCAGCTTGTGACAGTTCATGCCAGTGATGGGTCTTTATGGATCATAATGACCAATTAATATTAATTTATAATATGAAACGAGGAAGTTTCGGGTCAAAATTATATTTGCAGGAATATTATTTTAGTTCGTTATAGATTTCCAAGGTAATTTAATAATAACAGAGGGTGATTTATATCTATTTCGTGTTAAAATATTTCTAACTGGAGGTATCTACTGCACTGGATGATATTTATTCGCTAGTCAGACAAGAATCGGTTTGATTTCAGTGTGTCTTTACAAAAAAAAGTTGTTCATGTAGATAAAAAAGATAACAATGAATATCAACGTAAAGAACGAATCCAAAGAACATATAGAACATAAAGAAATGTTGAAACCCGATATTCAAAAGAAACCAGTAATTTTGATGGCGTATTCGAAACATTTAAAATCCATTACACATCAAACAAGAAGCTATGATGATGAATCAGTAAAAGGTCGATTCGGATGGGCACAAATAATGACAAATGATATACCATACATTTTCAGAACGGACGGTAAATACGTCTGTTACAGAATGCTGGAACAAAAGGTATTATCAAAATTATTCCTAAATTTCTACAAAGAATTAGTTAGTTGTGCTAATCTAAGGTACGTGCAAGTCAGTTTATCAGAATCAGGATTGTTAAACGACATAAATGTGAATCACTGCAATTTTCAATTCGGTAAAGAGAGATTTACAGTAGAAGATTTCCTGCTCAAATTAAGCGACGCAGGCCAGTTGTGCGGATTCCTGCATTCTTGCTACTTGAAATTAGAAAACATTATAGATTATGACATTTCGAAACGTTGCGGATTCATCAGGATCAACAAGGAGTCTGTAGTGCCGTATAGTGTGATGAACAGACAGAAATGCGTTCCGCTGTTTTACTTCGAAGGCGAGACTCAGGATTTGAAGCAGTTTACTTGGAGAATGGAGAATTGGGATTTGGCGTACTTGAAATTTTGTTGTAAAATTCAAGGTAAGATATAATTAATTGTAATAGAAAGGATTAACCGGGGTTAGTCAAATATGTATTGTATAACAGTTGATTAATGTTAACTGGCCTTACAAAGAGTTACTTTGCAGATCGATAACTCCTCAGTTAAATTTTTACCTTCGGTTACTTAATTAATCAGATAGCTTCTTTGAATGACACACTGATTTAGTACTATTTAAGACCTAATTATGTTTTATTTTTTATCTTTAAGTGCAATTTTATGTTACTGTTTTGTTTTAGTGCTAGTACAACATGTCTATGTTTTCAATTAACAGACACTAACCAAGGTTTTATCTTCAAACGGAAACTCATTAAATTGCAACGTTATAACCTATACTACTCTTAAAAAAAATGTATCTGCCAAAAAAATACAAATAAATAAATTGTAATAATGGATTTTAAAAAAATTGAGTTATGTTTCAAAAGAGCTATCCAGTAATAGCAGTAGGGAAGAATATTATGTGGCAATTTTTTTTTTGTGGAAGAGGGATGAAAAGAAAAATAGATAATTTTGTTGATATAATTATTTACTTATTGAAAATTCTGATTGAAAATTAAAAAAAAAAACTTTTTCTTTTTAAGATCTAGTTTTTTCAATTGATAGATATCATAGTGGTATACCAATCATACAGGGTTATTAAAGTAGTCAAATTTCTCATGTAAATATTGCCCGAAGCCAATACCTTGTATTTTAACTAATGACAAAGCAAATGTACAATCGACTGGCGCGAAAAAGTGAAATTTGGATTTTTTGCAGATAGGGGACATTAAAATTAAACCATAGATAGGAGAATGTACCTTTACTGGAGTTTTTAAAAAAATTATGAACTTTTTATAATTTTTGGTTCGTTTTGGTTCCTCTGATAACAAAATTTTCCGATACGATGGAAAACAAAAAGTTACATCCAAATTTGAGAGTATTTTGTCAAATATCGTAGGGTGTACTGATGAACCTTGTATACCAATTAAAACGCCAAATAGGAAAATAAAATCTACCTATGTTAATCGATTTAGTGTCACATCAGTTACTCTTCATGCCATTTTTAATTGCAAAGAACTTATTTGGGATGTATTTACTGGTCCACCAAGTATTTTATATGTCCTTTAATAAAATTATAAGGTAGTGGAGGGTAATAAGGCCCACCTAAGTTAAAAAATTCATTTCTTAAAAAAATAAAAAAAAACATTTCTCATTGCAGTCAGGTAGCAAAAACATAGGCATGTTTCCTTAAGTTTCAATCAATAAAACTAAAAAAAAAATTAACAAGTGGAAAATTAAATAATTTTTTAAAAAATATATCAACTGGGCCTTATTTTCAGCACAGTCAGAAAATAAGGCCCCCATTTAAGGTTTATATCTATTCTGAACAATTTGTACAGATAAAGTAGCCTTTATCATCGGGACCCATACCGGTAAATTCTTCGTGAACCCAAACCTGGCATAACACACAAGAACGCATGTCCAATTTTTCGCTTGATTGACAAAGCTAACAAAACCAGTGATCAATTTTTGTTTTGCATTTTTCCTTTTGACAAAAATTTTGGGTTGTCTGCATTTCTATCTGAAATAAGTTTTTAGTAACGTGTTTTGTAATTAAGAGCGTTTTTCCTAACTTGCGATATTTTTGGCGGCACCTCGGGGATTTTTAAAACTTCTTTAAAAGTTTTTTTTTCACAACTTAGCAATTTATCTGCCTTCTTGTTGGGTTAAGGGTGTAAGGAACAAAAACGTGTTTTCGGTTGTTTTTGAAGGTTTAATGATCCTGGTACTGGACTGTTCGGCTGTCGAGATGATACTAATGTTTCAGAACAAGAATGTGGGGCGTCAGTTGTTTTTGAGTGCCTGATGGTCCAGGTATTAGACAGTCCGGCTGTCGAGGTGGTACTAATGTTTCATAACAAGAATGTGTGGTCGTCAGTTGATTTTGAGTGCCTGATGGTCCAGGAAATGGTTCAGTATTTTTATTGATTCCAGTCTTTTTCAAGATAAGTTTCAGACTTAAATCACTAAGGGGTATCTGTATCTGTAACGTGTGGAGAGTGGGTGGCTTACTGTGCATCCTCCTAAGATGATAGGCACCTCCTAGCTCTTGAGCGAGCCTACACATTTAATGTAGTTGACAATGTCACCAAGAAGTGCTTCTCTTATATCGGCCGGTGTTAGCCGATACTCGCCGAACACAAATCTTCTAAAAAATGAGAGCGTCGAGCAATCGTAAAGGATATGCTCGATGGTCTTATTTTCTTGTTCGCACCCTCTGCAGAGTGCGGATTCTGACAGCCTTATGATATGGAGATGCTTTCATACTTGGCAATGACTATTCAGAATACCTCTGACTAGGCGCAGCTTCTATCTAGTCATAGTCAAGTATTTGTTTGCTGCAGTGTTGTCAGGATAACGTAAGAGCAACCTGGCAACTCTGCAGTTTCTTGTTTCATCCCATCTTACCTTGAATTTTACAAGGCAATGTTCTTTGATTAGGTCTGTCACTATCGATTTTGTCAGGCCAATAGAAGGGCTAGGTCTAAAAAATATTTAGTTGGCTGCTCTCTTGACTAGTGAATCAGCAAGACGGTTACCTTTCGATTTGGCGTGACCTTTGATCCATCTTAAGGTGACCACATTGTTGATGGATACTTCGGCCAAAGCTTCGTGACATTCTAGTACTTACCCTGAGAAAATTCGTAGTCTGTTCAGTGTGAGTAGTGCTTGTCTGCTGTCTATATGGATGAGCATGTTCCTTCCAGTGACTCTGTTTTTTTTTGTTGTTATGAGAATCCCCGTTAGCAGCAAAATTAATATCCAGAAACAATGTCACTGGAAGGTAAATCGTCGTTATCAGAAAAGTAGTCTTGTTCTGCAGCTCTTCTTGAAAGCGTCAATCTTGCGAAGGCTATGGCATTCGGGTTAAATGAAAAAATTCCTGTAGCTCTAAAACCACTTATGTTCGCTACATTCATGGATTTTTCCCAAACCGGTGTAAAGACATTACAGAATCTGTTCTTATTTAAATGATGGTCTGGATGCTGGTCCCAATATGTTGGTAGCTGATCGTCATAATAATGTTCAAACGATCGGAATACAGCCTTGTCGAGAGATTGTAGTCGTGTTACTAGGGAGGCAAAGTAACTCAACATTTATTTCTTCGGCTTTGATTTTAATAAAATGTCTAAATGGCACTTTGCCCCATCAAATATAAGTAGCATCTTTCCAGGTGGTTTGTGTTTTTTAAAGTGACCCAACCACTCACAGAATAGCTTTGTGGTCATGCTGCCTTTGAGACTCATTAAAACTTCTATTCCGATTGGCATGTTATCTGTATACGTTGGTTTGAGTTAGAACTAATTTAAACTAAACATATTAATGAAAATTAACTTTTTTTAACCCTATAAATATAAAACTATCAATAAATTTAACAAAAATTAAACCTAAGAACATTGCACTACAGATTAAAAAATATTTTATATTTTTCTCACAAATATCTTTAAAAAACAAAAGGCGAGACTATTTTGCTACTAATTCTTCTGTGAAATCTTTTAGAAAATAGAGCTTCTATCGGCGTCTTCTTTCTTTGTGAATATTTAGAAGAATTGTTTCAGTTTTATTTGTTGTTTTGCCTTTTCTAGTTTGACTTGCTCTATTTTTAAAATAACTTTATCACCACTTCTTAAAACTTCCGGTTATCGTCTATGAAAGTAAGTTTTCCTACCTCTGCTTTAAATTCTATTTTTTCGAATTCCACTAGTCATAGAATTTTCTATTTTTGTTTTTTTTTTTCAGTACCGTTTTGTATCTGTTTTTACACTGTACCCAAGTGATGAGTTAAGTTTTTTATTAATTTTTTTTCAGATCTTCTACATGTCTTTTGGTTTTGGTTTTCTTCATTGGATCTACATGGGGCAGGGAATCACCATAATAATTAGTCAAGTAAAAATCTGGATTCTTCACTTGTACTTTCATGTTTCTTAATGCATTCAGCTTCAAAGCTTCTTTTATTAATAATGTCAAAATCGGTATTTTCTAAAAAAGTTCCAGTTTTTAAATCTTTTACACTTACATGCATGTCACTATATTCTAGTTCTTTATCTTCAAAAACAAAATGAGCTCAGTACATAGAAATACTAAGTATGACTTTTAAGGAATTACTAAAATAAATCATCCGGTTACTTACCCTTTTAAACACATTCTCGGAACACTGTCATTTCTTCTCCATTTACATTAGTATGTACTATCAAATTACTTTCATTTCATAACGATTTCCATAGATTGTTTTTTTTATATCAGAAAACTGGGGAAAACTTTTAAAGTGACTGGTAAATTTATTTTTTTTTTGTGTGTCATGGCTTCAACTGCTAAGGTTATTTCGCCTCGTGTTTATGTGTAGGCTATGTTACTGTTTCCCAGCGCCACTTTAGGAACAGCATTGTTAATTAGAACCCAACAGTGAATGGTCGAGTGGGGAATCCTACCAGGGCATCAGAATTAATTTTAATTATTTAAATTAATTAAAAAAATCCCGGCCAACGGTGGGATTCGAACCTGGGACCCTTGGATCCACAGGCAGAGACTCTACCACTAAGCCACCCACCCCTTGGTAAATTTAATTATATTTTTTTTTAAATTGCCATCAGTGTCAAAAAGCGCTGAAAGCTCTATACTCTGTTTTTAAACTAAGAGGAGCGATTTGAATTTAAGTTGGCAATTCTGTAGCCTTCTGATTGGTCAGATTACAGTCAGTTTCACACATTACTTTTTAGCATGAACATCAGCTAATAATTGATATTGTTGACAGTTCTGACATTTTATAATTTGATATCTCATCCATTACAGTTTTTTACTTTATTTCGTAAATAATAGTTCTTCAGTAAGCAATTGTATTGAAAATCTACAATTATGGATCCTTCTACACTGAGTACTATTAAAGGTAGCAATTCCTGAAAAGCCTTACAAGAAAGGGAAGACACATTATTTTACATGCTGA